GCCAGCATGGTCCTCACCCACACCACCCCTCCAGCTTATGAGCACAGGAACAAGAGTAGAAGGCCCCAAACACAGTATCTAGGAAGGATGCTGCTTAACTCTGATGCAAGGGTCAGATTCACTAACCTCCACTTACAACATCCAATGTAGGAATTTAATCATGCTTAGACACTGAACCAATGGAGATCGTCACCATTAGGTTAAAACAGAACTTTGGCCTACCAGGTCATCACCACCCCTGGAGGCTATGCCTCCGGCCACCATTGACACAGGTTTGCTTTCCTGCCTGGAGCCCACCCGTGAGACTCTTGCCCCACTCGTACCTGCTGGCTGTTCCTGAATACTGCCAGCCTGGCACTCTGAGATTCTGCCTCTTTCCTAAGACTTCAGTTTTTTGCTTTGTTGTTTTGTTTTTAAAGAACAGTTTAATTTTACAGCAAAATTGAGAGGCAGGCTTCCCATATACTCCAGCCTGGCATGTGACCTGATTGCTTTTAAAAAGCGACCCTTGCCCTGATGGCCAGCACTTGCTATTTGGATGTCATTCTTGGGGAGGGATTGCAGGATATGTGCGTTCCCTGGCCCCGCTTCCTCTCATTTAGTCTGGTTCTCTTTCCCAGCCTGCAAGCCGTAGTGTTCAAGGGTGGTGGGGGCCTCAGGTCCTCTTGGGTCTATGAAAAAGCCTCCCAGGAATGCTCTTACAATTTCCGAGCATGACAGGCTCCTGGTCTGTTTTTTGGTGGTCCTGGGGACTGAACCTAGGGCCTCGTTCATACCAGGCAAGCACTGTACTACTGAGTTATATCCCCAGCCCTCTTTTTACTTTTTATTTTGAGAGAGACAAGATCTTACCAACTTGTCCAGGCTGGCCTTGAACTCATTCGGTAACCCAGGGAGCCCTCCACTAGAGCAGTGGTTCTAAGCTTGAGGGTCGAGACCCCTTTGACTACCCTCTATCTTCAAAAATATTTACATTGCAATTCAGAATGGTAGCAAAATTGCAGTTATGAAGCAGCAATGAAAATAATTTTATGGAGGGGGGATCACCACACCATGAAGAACTGTATTAAAGGGTCACGTTGAAAGGTTGAGAAACCCTGCTCTAGAGCATCAGGATTAAAAAGTATTCACCAACAGAAGAACCACACCCCTTGTCGATCTGGGCATGGAACCCAGAGCCTGGTGCATTCAAGGCAACCACTCTATCACCTAGTTACACTCCAGCTTTGAAGGGCAGTTTTGATTCAGCCCAAATATTCAAGCAAAGTCCCTTTACATTTGGGCTTGGCTGTGTCCAGGCGCTGGGCCCAAGGTTTTCCCAGTGTTGTTTCATTGGGGGGCCTCATCCTCATAGCACCCCTGGGGACAGCTTCTAGCCCCTTCCGTGGGCTGAGCTGTGGATGGAGGCATCCCTCTGGTTGGACTTTCTTTGGACCACTAGCTCCCAAATAGTGACACAAAGATTTCTTATTAAGTATGAAAGCCTTATCTTAGGCTTGTTCCCAACTAGCTCTTAAACCTTAAATTAACCTGTTTCTATTAATCTACACACTACATACTGCTCCTTACCTGTCCTCGGTGCCTTACATCCCACTTCCTCCGTATCTGGCTGGCAAATTTCTTGCCTCTCAGATTCTTCCCAGAGTTTCTAGCTCTGTCTCGAAGTCCTGTCTATCCTCTCCTGCCTAGCTATTGGCCATTCAGCCCTTTATTAAACCAATAACAAGGTGCCTTAGGCAGGTGAGGAAGGATAGACACATCTTCACACAGTGTGATCAAATATCCAGCAACACATCCCAGCACCTCCCCCTCTCGCAGTGTCTAGGCAGACGGTCAGTATGTTACCATGCCTATAGTGTCGTCCCACCTTCTCCAGTGAGGAAGCTGCGGGAGATTCCCTTCCAAGACTCACAGTGATGACGGAGAGCCAGGGTTTGATCAAGAGGACAAAAGGAAGGACTCCTGTAGAACTCCTGTGTTGGGAGTGTCCAGGGACAGTGGCTGCCACTGCCTCTCTCTGCCTGGACACCTTCCTTCTCTAGCTCCAGACTACACGTTTTACAAAAGGGTCAGCTTTCTGGCTGGAACCACATGGCCTTTTAGCTTCCTGGGAGGTAGAAGGCAGGAGACAGCACAGGGTAGGCCGGATCCATCTGGACCTGCTCAACCGCAGCAGCTCCTGCGCATCCCCTCAGTATTCTTTTGCAGGCAGGCACTGTCCAGGGAACAGAAGGGAGGGGCCGTCTGCTCATTCACTCTGTCATGGCAGTGCTGGTGAGAACACCCTTCTTTGGGGCAAAATTCCTGTATCCGCTAAACGTCAGAAGGGAAAGTCTGGTCTCTCTGAGACCGCTCAGGCTCTAGTTCCCCAGCTGCCCCGCCTTTTGGAAGGAGCATTTCTTTCTACTTTGTTTCTATTTTTTGTTTGTTTGGTTGCTTGGTTTGGATTTTTTGAGACAATGTTTCTCTGTGCAACAGTCCTGGCTGTCTTAGAGCTCACTCTGTAGAGCAGCCGGCCTGGATCTCAGAGATCCACTTGCCTCTGCTTCCCAAGTGCTGGGATTACAGGTGTGTGAAACCGAGGCCTGGCTCTGTTTCTATTTTTATGTTACTATCTTCAACTTGACATCTGACCTAGGGCAAAGGCAGCTGGGAACTTATCTTTTTTGTTTTGTGTTTATGTTTCACACTGTAGAAAACTGCTAGGCAGCTTAATTTGGATACAAGGAGCCAGATAACAGAAACCTAACCTCCTCTGTGCATGCATGCCCTGCACGGCTTTCCTCCTCTGAGCACAGGCCTGCATTTTCACTTAAAAAGTTAACTTTCCTACTCGATAAAGGATGACTAGAGAAAGGATGGTTAAAAAAAAAAAGTGATGTATGTTTTTCCACTCTAATTAATGGAAAAGGTAAGTCATAGAATGGGCATCTGGAACAAGAATCCCCACAGCTTGGCCCATTTCACTCTACCCCCAGGCTCACTCACACTCAGGTCAGGGGCCTGGGCTTTTCTCCTTTCTTCAACTGCAGCCCCCATGTTCTTATGTGATGTTCGGCAACAGGAACTTGGGAGTCTACAAATGATTAAATGAACCTTTGGCTAGAAGTAGCTTGCCTTCAAGCTGAGGGAATCTTTGCCTATTGGTGTCTCTCTTCATACCAGCAGAGGGATGATTTTCTTACCGGCTCTAGGTTAAAGAGAAGCCTTAGATAACGTGGGGAGAAATAACGCCATTGGTAACTTCCACCTCTACCTTCTGTCTCTCTGTAGTCCCACTCACTAAGTGCTCTGATCCCTATTGTTTTCATGCTTTGCTTCGGAGCCAGTCGGCCAAGGAGCTCACTGGCTTGGATGCTCACGGGTGGTGGGGGTGAGTAGTCTGAGGAGAGGGAGGTCTGGCAAGCAGTTTTCCTTGGTAGAATCTCAGCTGAAACCCGCATGCCCAGCAGAAGACCAGCCACCCCCACCCCCTTCTTTTCTGATCCTGAGGTGGACACTCCTAGACCAGAAGGAGCTCCCATATTCTGGATTCACTAGGAAATGGTTTATAAAGCCCATGGCTGAGAGTTGAAGAGGAGAAATCGAAGTATTTATTTTCCTGGAGCATATGAATCTGATGAGAATATTCTGTGGGAACCTGTCAGAGAGACACGTAGGAACATCCTCCTCCTCCAGCCGCTGCCGCCCCTGCTGCTGCGGACAGGAGTTACTTTGCAAATTGGTTTTCTCTTTGGACTGCTAAAATTTTCTCCCATCTTGCTAGCACATTTTTATTCTCTCCCTCACATTTCAATGTGTGTTTTTAAATATGTGCGTGAGGGTCCTATCGCTTAGTATCTGTAGCGCTTCCTTTTCTCCCCTGTCAAGATTTTGTATCTCTGCCTAAAACTCAGGGATTTCTGCGCATGCTTGGCCCGCTTGTGCTGCCTTCTCACTGGCTGGTCTTGCGGTTCATGCTCTGCTCTGACCTCCTCCTACTGTGGGCGGTCTCCTGAAGGGCACGTCTGGGTAGGTTTGATACAAAGTTTTAAGCTTGCCCCAGGTTTCAAGACTGTTTCTCTGGTAATGCTCCCTGCCTGTTAACACGTACCGAGTTCCTGCTCTCTGGACTGATTTATGGTTGTATTAGGGAAAACTCTACCTGGGGTATAAAATACAGTGTCCCATGCCTGGGCCCGATCTTAGGCGCTATCGGTGATTGCAAGTGCATTTTATAACCCTGTGCCAAATCGAAATCAAGGTGATTTGTGCATCAATCTCCCGGATAAAATCAGGGTAAGCTCTATTGCAGTCTGACCTTCCTAGTGCCTTTGCTGGTGTGGCTTGCCCATGCGCCTTGGATAATTGCCAGAATTGTATCACCAGCTTAAATTGTATCAAAAGGCTTAACTGCTCACCCTAGAGTCTCCCCAGAAGAGGAGGCTCCTGAGAGCTTTGTAGTATGAAGATGCTGCAGGCAACTCCTTGGGCCTTCTCATACAAGCTTTCAATAACCCTGACCTCCCCCGCTGTTCTAAGAAATGGACTCTTACTGCAAGCTGGCCGAAGCATGTCCTAGAGAAAGCAGGCATGCCACCGGCTCCCTCTGCCTTGTACATACCCCAAGAGCTCAGCTGATGTTGTGGCAGAGAATTTATCCACTTTTAAAATGAGCAGGAACAAGAAAATCACTTCTTTCACTCTCGCCCAGGACTTTGAGAAACACCTGAGTCCCTCTGTAAAGTTCCAGCCCCTAGCTGTGCTCTCCATTATACAGTACAAGTCTGGCAGGGTGACAGCAGTTTTCAACAGATTGGTGGAAATTATAGATTTTTGGGAAGTGAAGTCTCTTCATGCTGCTGGTGGTGGGCGGGGGGTATTTATGATAAATATTTTTAAGTTAGGCTTTTGTAACTATAATCTGAGTTTCTCAACTTATATTTAACCCAAACTTATTTTTTTTTTAAATTTATTTATTTATTATGTATACAGTTTTCCATCTGCATATATCCCTGCAGGCCAGAAGAGGACACCAGATTTCATTACGGATGGTTGTGAGCCACCATGTGGTTGCTGGGAATTGAACTCAGGACCTTTGGAAGAGCAAGCAGTGCTCTTAACCTCTGAGCCATCTCTCCAGCCCCCCCAAACTTATTTTTAAGGTAATTTCACCTCTTGATTTCATAGCCTTTCATAGCCGAGGGAGGAGCTCAGTTGTCTCTACAAGTGCCACGGCCTGCTTTGTGAAACCCCTTTAAGATATGCTAATGGATGGGATGATTATTAAGATAAATGCCTTGTGTAGGAAACCGGACTTAATTATAATATCTACAATCAGTCACCGGTCAGCCTAGAAGTTATAATTTATTGTTCCCTAATTTGCCTTTACTACCAAAGATATTTAACTTAAAGGGATTAAAAAAAAAGAGCCTGATTTGAATAGTGAGCGTTTAGCAATCTTAAAAACTGTTTCTTTTAAACTTTTGTAAACTCCTCATGTCTAATTTTAGGAACTAATATACCAGCATGAGGGAGTCATGTTTGTACTTGTTGGTTTAAAAAATGGGAAAACTACTTGTCAGAAGAAGTGATGATGATGAAGGCTTTTCTTCCAGACCCACATTTTTGGAATGCCAGGTAAACTTATACAATAGATTCAAGTCTGGGTGGTGGGAATATGGTGTTTTCCTGGCTAGGGAGGTGTCTATTAAACAGAATATCTAATGCTCTTCCTCGTAGATGATAATCCCCTGCCCCCAGTCAAAAAGGGAGCAGCATTTGCCAATGCTGTGGCTTTTCATAGGGCTTGCTCCACACAGCTCCACTGGCCTTCTAGACAAAGGACTCTGCACTCTCTCCCCGACCCCCGCCCTGACAGGACTCTGGGGTCCTTGGCCACACAGGCATGACTTCCTTGCGTCTCTTTGTCTCTGAATTCATGTGGGTGTTAAAGGGGCCTTGGCCCCCATGTGGGATGGCGGTGTCTGCTCCCCTGCCTCCCAGGAACCTTTTAATAAATGCAGTTGCACTTTGACTTGCCGTGCGTTAGTCTGAAATATATCCCCAGGGAAGTGACATGGGGGATGTCAGAGACATTCTTCCTGAGATGCAGGAACCACTGTCCCAGGGTGATGTCAGTATTGTCTGCATGGGTGAAGCTCCCACGTTCCCACATCTGTGGCCATGATCATCCTTGAGCCATTTGGATGGTACATTAGAACTCACTAGAAGCAGAGCTCGGAATGTTGTTGTCTCCACTCTGCTGTCTTCCCAGGTCAGAAACGAGGTGGGGTGTGTGTGTGTGTGTGTGTGTGTGTGTGTGTGTGTGTGTGTGTAGTTTCTGTAAGAGTGCAGCAGTCTGAGGGTTGCTTGAATACTCTTTCATGGGATGGAAACTGAGTTCTTCTATTGAGGTGGAATTGAGAGTAAAGATGGGCCAACCTTTGAAGACGAGGCCTCAGATCACCCAGTGTGTTTGCAGGCTGTTAGGCTAGGAGAGCGCTGATAGACAGACTGATGTACAGCGAATGAGACATTTCCTGGTCGGTCCTGCAAGGGCCTTTCACCAGGAAACTCTACTGGGTAGCGGTGTGACCACGGCAGTGTGACCACAGCAGTGTGAGCACGGCGGTGTGACCACGGCAGTGTGACCACGGCGGTGTGACCACAGTGGTGCGCAGTGCAGTGAGGGGCACACTGGATGCCAACAGCTAAGGGATGGAGTGCTACCTAAAAGAGATGGCCTGAATATCACCAGAAACCAGCAATGGCAGGGTTAGTGGCTAGGCACTGGCATGCTGCAGATGGAACTCACCTTCACACCAGAGTTCAGTGTGTATACTAATACGGAAGCCTGGTCCGGAACCCTTTGCTGGGTCAAGGATCAAGGCACTTACTCCTCAGCAGCTCCAGAGGCTCAGAGTGCCACCTCCCTTCAAGAATTAGACCCACAGTCCCAAAGTGGCCCACAGTGCACAGCTGGCCCCCACTGGAGAGGTGATCCCAGGGGCACTTGTGGGGATCTTCATTTCCGTCAGGCCAGGCTTAGGCTATACTGAAGATCACAGCTTCGCCTGGCTCTCCCTCCCTTCCCTCTCCTTGCCCTCTCTCTTAGTCATGACCTCAACCATTTCCAGGCACTCAGCTTCCTGTCTCAGGCTGTGCTACTGGGACCCTACCCCCCACTCCGCCCAAGTCCTGAGACCTCATGAGCAGGGATTTTCTGAAACAACCAAACCTAACCTCTCCAGTCTCCCTTGCCCCGTCCCCTCAGCAGGCCTACCCCCAGATCCCGAAGCGTTTGTAAATCTGATTTCTTCCTCGTTTCAGGTCCACTTTCCAGGTTCACTTATTACCACCCATGGGTCTGAGTTACAAAACTCTAGCCACACCAAAGATGTCACAATTTCTTACTCAGGGACTGTGTTTAAAACTCATGCCCAGCCTCTGGGAGGCAAGATGATATGACATTTGTGTAGGAGCAGACCTGGGTTTAGCCCTGATTGGTACTTGGCTCCTGTGTAGTACGGGACAAGAGAGCAAGTCCATCACCACCCTCACCCAGCTGGTGGACTAAACCTAGGCGATCTAATCCTGAGTCCCTGCTCTTAACCTCTAGCCTATGTAAGGATGCAATGGTGCCAATGTGTTTGTCCCAGTTCTTGGCTACTCAAAGTGGGAGCGGTGAGGGTGATTCTCTATCATGTGTCTCTTTGCTGTCTTTTGAGACAGAGTTGATTTGTAGCCTAGGCTGGCCTAGAACTCTTGGTCCTCTTGCTCCAGTCTCCCAAATGCTGGGACCACAGACATGTGCCACCAAGGCTAGCCAACGATTGCCCCTTAATGCCCTGGTGAACAGGATGACTATAATGATGGTGACAGGGTTGAGAGAAGCCTTGCACATACAGGTTTGGGCTGCAGCTGGGTGGTAGGAGGCCTCCTGTGCATTCTCTAAGAGCCCAATCCCAAAGAACCCAGACTGAAGCAAAACAAAACCTTCAACCAGCAGAAGATGGTAGACCAGTGACTTCCAGATTCTTCCCCAAATGCTCCTACTGATGCAAAAAGCAAAACCAAACAAAAATCATCTGGAATTAACCCCAGTAGGCCTTGGAATAAGGTCACTCTATGAACCTGAGATGCTAGTCTTGGGTATGTCCATGTCAGGATAAAGTAGAAAGAGATCCCGACTGGACCTGCTTAGTACTCTACCTGGAATAAAAGGGGTCTCGTGGGTGTCTGGGGAGAGGAAGGCCTTGTGTCATGGGAGGGGACTTTGGAAGTCTCTAGAAGGGAGTAGTGTGTGGCTCCCCCTCCCTATTATTTGAGCTCTGTCCCAGGAGTTGGTGGGAAAGGCTTGCCAGAATGTCCTGGGTTCCTGCAGACAGAGGTCTGCTCCACCAATGCAGGGGTTGGCATCCCAGGCTCCTCTCCTGTCCCCACGTCCTGTGTTCACAAATTTGACCTAACTGAAAGACAGCTCCAGAAGCAAACACCCATGAGAACAGGGTTTTTAGTTTCTCTTATTTATTACTGTTTCCACAGTGACTGGAATAGTCCTTAGCCCATGCTAGATATTAAGGAAAATATTGTTGGGAAAATGAATCTTGTCAGAAATCCAGAGGCTTTAAGATGTATCTGCTCTGCTCTGTGGCTGAACGAAACTGTGGACTTCGCTCATCTAGTTGGCTGTTGATGCCAGTTCTTCTGCCTTTCAAAACAGAACAATGTCAGTTGAGTTTCCTGTAGCTTTGAAACGTGAAAGCTATGAAATTGATTCAAAAAGGACAGTTTTAGGAAGTTCAGTTGATTTTAGAATTCACAGGAGATAGTGTTTCTAGAAAATACACTACAGACATGCTTTTTTAGAATTTTCAGACCATCTTCCCAATTAGCTCTTGGGTTGAGAAGTTAAAAAGAAACCAGTTGGGAATGAGTGATACCCCATACCGGCATCTTCAGAATGTGGCTAAAGAAATTTCCAGAGGGCAGCTTATAGCCTCCGTGTGCTCATCAAACAGAGCACTGCAAAGAAGATGAACCAAACATTCCACTCAAGAGGCCAGAGAACAAGCACTAGTGCCCACCTCCCGGACGTGCACACATGCACACACACATGCACACATGCACACACACAGAGAAGAAAGACAAACTTCACCCAAACTTTTTTGTAGCCAGGTCAGGACAGTGAGGTCTATTTCTAGCAGGGTATTTTTTGAACATTGTCACTAACTGGCACATTTTCTACTAGTCAGTGGCTGCCACCTTGCAGAAGATAAAGTCTTGTTAAAGACATGGCCACTCAAGAGTAGCTAATCATGCTTTCTTTACCTAGGGCATTCTGGGAAAGCGTCAGTGGAAGAAGACGGAGGGTGTGGCTTGAGGAGGTGGTCTGAGAGAGAGAGCAGGGTTCGTTCTGGTCCTTTCTGGGTATGATGGTTAATCTCAAGTGTCATCTTGATGAAATCTAGAATCCTCTGGGAGCTGGGTCTCTGAGGGGGAATTACCTTGATTAGGCTAACTGATGTAGGAAGACCCACCCACTATGGGTGCATCATTCCTGAGCTAGGATCCCAGACTGTATAAAAAAAGAAGGCACCCGAGCATGAATAGTCACTGTTCTGTTTTTCTGATTGTGCTGGACTGAGTGTCCTTGAACTGTGAGCCAGAACAAACCCTTTCTCCCCCAACTTGCTTTTGTCAGGACATTGTATCTCAGCAACAGGAGAAGAAAGGACGACACTGGGTGATCTGACTGGTTAGCTGTATGACATGGCAACAACACTGATGGGACCTGGAGCCTCGTGTGTGATAGGCAGGATCCTAAGTCACGAGCAGAGAAGGCAAAGGGACAAAGAGCTGACTCTTTCTTCTGCCTGTTTGGGGGTAGTGATTCTGATAATCAGTAGAGACCAGAATATCTCTTCTGAGATGGTGAGTAGAGCCCCTTAGCCCTGGCTGGAGCCGAGACTTCCTCTGTTCGTCTCTCTCAACAGGTCCTGACTCTGGGATCCTGTTTAGAGCAACTCAGAGAGAAGGCCAAACCCTTTTCTGTCACACCATCTCTGGTCAGGGTGCTGGTCTGGCCTTCCCTACTGCCAAGGAGAAATACCTAGGACACGGGAAGACACTAAGGCCCAGACTTCAGCTTACCCGAGGCTACTGCTCCAGACCACCATCAACTGTGCATCAGGCCCTGAGTGTCCAGGGGGTTCGCTCTGAGGATAGGTGCTCAGATGGAGGCTCCCCTGATTTGCTGGCCACTTGAAGCCTTGTTTGGTTCAGTTTGGTTGGTTAGGTTTTTGATAAAATGATAATGGGCACCTCACAGGTTGGGGTGGGTTTTTTCATAGGAAATTAGTAAAAGTTTATGCAAACGCAAGCTATACTGGAATGACCTATAATTGGCCTTTTGTGCCATTTTTCATACTGAAAACAAAATAGGCAGAGACCATGATACCCCATTTCAGAAGGGAGCTTAAGTATATAATTTTGAGTCCTATGAAATTGTCAATATTTGATCATTTCTCTACCTATAAAAACAGCAGTTTCATGCAAGTCAGCCCGGTGAAGCTCTGTCTGCTGATCATCCCTTTAGACTTAGAGCCTGTCCTAACTGTGAATTGTTCTGTTGTCCTTCTCTGTCTAGTTCCACAGAACAGCAAGAAGACACACAACTGGAGCTTTCTTTCCCTCGTATTATTTTCTTCTCTGCACACCTGCAATGTACTCAATATCCAACTCTGCACGGCGCTGTAGGGGCGAGTTCTGCTAACCAGAAATCCCCTATAGAAGATCACAGATTTGTTCATTTTTGCGTTCAGCTTGTCAATTGATTTGATAATTGCCTGGGAGACATACACAGGCATACAGACACACAAAACAATGTCGGTCCACAGGCTTTTTCCCTCGACAGTGGGATGAAGATGTTTTACTTACTGGAACTCAGATGTCACCTGGAAGAATAAGAGGAGGTACTAGGGAAAAAAAGAGAAAGGAGTGGAGATGGCATGGTGTGGGAGGCAGGTGGTCCCTCTTGGTTACCAAGTGTGATGACTCCCCGAATATGACAATAAATCACGGCAGGAATCAATCTGTCGGGAGGCTACTGCTCCATGCTGATAATGCATCAATCAATATTTAATGTTTACACTTTAATTAATCCACACACGGGAAGCATTCTTTCAGTAACAAAAATAAAGGGATGAGAAATAAAACACCTTTTATATCAAGGAGCCGCGAGTGCACGGCCTGTCTGGGTGCTGTCATTGCAGCTGTCATTGATCACTGGGAGTCTCTCTAGCCTTCTAGTCACATTTGGATAGCAAGCTAATGTGGGGGAGGGGCCCAGGGGTGTCAGAATTCAGCCTGGGAAGATGGTGACATCCTCAGAACTGCTGCCGAGTGTGGATTCTGGCAATGGCAGCACAGAATCAGAGGCAGTATTGGATTCTTAGCATTGGTGTCATCTCCCAGAAAAGACTGCTGTCCACAGATGACAATCTGTTGCTTGGAGCCTAACGGCCCCCTCCCCTGATGATGACCAGAAGAAATCACCATGCCTTCTTTGCTACCCACAGGGCTATCTCTCAAAGTTTAGTGGAAGCAGGGTAAGCCCCAGAGGCATTTTCTTTTCTGATTTGAAGAGTGCCAGGATAATGTTAGATACAGAGATCCCCATATCAACCACTGGGACCATGGCTTGACATTCCTAGACCTTCAACCCACCAGTGTGCTCTTCTGAGCTGCCCGTAGCAAGGGCTGCTTTAAAAATGCCATGCCCAGCATTAACTATGGTTCACCTGTCTCAGTGGTTACACGTGACTCTGTGGCTGCAAGGTGGCCTCACACTGCCTTTTGCATTCACCTGGTGAGACACTTTACGGAAGGTTTTGAACTGCCTTCAGAGAGCTGACCATCAGTGCCTTTTGCTTGGCTCACCAAGTGGCTTCCAGTCCTCAAAAGGCAATGAGTGGCAAAGGGCACACCTCTAGTTGTGTTTGAGAAGAGGGCTTGATAAATATCGCGGGATCTTGACCCTTGATACACCCTAAGTATTTGTTGGAACAGCAAGGTTAAGTTTACAGGTATAAAAAAGCAGTAGTCGGGACTGGGTGCATTCAGGTTCAGGCTGGAGCATGAAAAGGGCCCTGGTTCCAGTGCTAGCATACACAGCAGTACTTAGAAGAGAAATGTCAGAGCCATGATTTGGGTTACCCCAAAAACAGATAAATGAGGAGGCAGGTAAAGGCATTTGCTGCCAAGCTCGACAATCCAGGTTTGATCCCTGGGACCTGCACTATGGAAGAAGAGAACCAACTCCTAATGTTGTTCCTTGACCCCCACAGGAGTGCTATGCCAAGCACTCTACCACATGTATGCACACATATGCACAGAAAATGAGTCAATGAAACTTAATATGAAAGAATGTGAGGAGGGAAGTGGCCAAGGAAAGAGGAACCTTCACTGTGGGGATTGGGGTTCAGTCAGGATAGAACATTCATTTCAGCCTTGTCTGTCAGACAGGACAAGGGAGCTAGTGTACACCCAGTCACCTCAGGCTTGCAGCTGATGACTGCATCTAGGGGTGTTGAAGACCTACCTTCTACTCCTCAGGCCAGAGGCTCCAGTAGAGTCATTTTCTCCTTCCAGCAGCATCAGTGGCCAAGTTCAATGTCAAATGCGGCTGCCCCACCAGGGCAGATGAGTAGTGACTGGCATCCACTGATGGTGAAGTGTCTGAAAACAGCTCCAAATGCTTTTAGGCCCAACTATTTCAATTACTTTCCCCATCATATCCATCAATCCAACCACGTTATTTCTTTCCATGCTGGAGGAGGGTGCTGTCACAGCACGCATGTCAGTCTATGTCATGCTGTTGTGACAACGTGCCAGAGTCTGGGGGCTTCACAGAGGTCGACTGGCCCAAGTTCTAAAGGCTTAAGAGTGTGGAGTTGATATGTGAATGGTTCTGGTGAAAATCTCATAGATAGCATCAAGATACAAGCAAGCTTGGCATGGGGCTCAGGCCTATAATCCCAGTGCTTGGGATGCTGAAGATCACTACAAGTGTAAAGTCAGCCTGGGTTTACATAGTGGGCTCGAGGCTAGCCTGGGCTATAGAGTGAGACCCTGTCTCAGAACAAAACTCAAAATAAAATAAAAACCCAATTAAACACACACACACACACACACACACACACACACACACACACACACACACACACACCCAAACAAACCCTCACAGCCCTCCAAAACCAACCAAACAAAACCCAAATCAAATCAACCGAACATCTGGTCGACCAGCTAACCAACCAACTGGAGATATATAGAAGTTGCTGGCGAGTGTGAGGGAATGCACTCCCAAGGGAGAAAAAACTATTCCTGGTAAAGACCTAGTTACCTGTCCCCAGCCCCCAGTGCCTCTAGGCTGAAGACCACCTGTCACCACCATAACCTGCTTCTAGAATGTGACCTTTTGGGGGTCAAGTCATGAAGCATAAAGCCCCTAAACGGGGCTATGAGTGAACTTCTTAGGGCAAGGTGTTCACTGAGACACAGAGACTGAGGCTGATAGAGTGACCAGTAGGTCCACATCATTTTTTTTTCCGAGACTGAGTTTCTCTGTGTAGTTTTGGAGCCTGTCCTGGAACTCGCTCTGTAGATCAGGCTGGCCTTGAACTCACAGAGATCCACCTGCCTCTGCCTCCTGAGTGCTGGGATTAAAGCCCTGTGCCACCACTGCCCATTTCTTTATTTTTCATCTCATCTTTTTAAAATCATTTCTTCTCTTTTCTCCTTTGTTTCTGCCAGACTTGACTGTCTCTGAGCCAAGCAAACTCTCACATGACTCAGTTCTTACACATTTATATAAAGTCTACTTTATAATGCAGGAACCATATTGTACCCCACTAGCCCAAACCAGCGGAGTAATACACTAAAGATGATTCATGTAGAACACAAACTACAGTCATCCAATGCAGACACATTCATTTCCCTTCTTTTCTACATTTAACTGCATGTTACCCTCCCAAGTTCCCCTGCAGCTTACTCCGTTACTTCCCTGGCATGCATCGTTGATCATATTTCTAATTGGATGGGTAGAATTGAAACCCTTTAATGCCGCTGTTACAGGAAGCTGGTCTGGTCTTTATCATTTTGATCTTAGAGACTGTTAAGGAGTCTTTGGATACAAATGGTAGCTTGGGCTTTGCTAACAAGTGAAGAAAAGGAACCAAGGGAGGGCTACTGGCTGGCCCACGGCATCTCTGGTGACCTCAGTAAAACCGCACTGAGCACCTGCTGTGTGGCTGGCTCTTGGTATAAGTAGAAGCCCTTCAGTGTGAACTCACTGTCTAGTCAATGTTTTCAGTTCTTGCATCCCTTAGCACCAAGGTGAAACACTTTCCTCATCTACACACTCTTTACATTGTGCAAGAACCTCCGAGGAACAGTTTCATTCAGAAATTTATTTGCAACTCAAGGTGACTTTGCTTCCTAGAAGGCACTTGGCAGAGTCTGGAGTCAGCATGGGAAGGAGCCACAGATCTCTCGAGTAGAGACAGAAGAACTCCAACATAGCCTACAGTGCATTTGGTGACTTCCCACAATATTGTGTTCTCTGCTTCAGAATCTCCACAGTGTCATATTTCAGAATCTCTGTTTTGATCCCTGTTTCCTCCCTAGAGTGGCCCTGCCAACTATAACCCAAACATCCATTCAGGAGAACAGGGATGCTGAAGATTATTAGTCCCCTGCAGCCTTGTAGCTCCACCCTTTGGTACCCATCTCTGCCAGTGCTCAGTGATGCCCTGCAATGATGTAGTTCATACACACACACACACACACATCTTTCAAGGTTCTCCCCTGGAGACTGAAACTGAGCCAAGAGGCCTGACCTGAGCTGTTTTTATTGGAGCCATGGGCAGATTGCTGCAAAAAGAAAGAGCCTGAAGTCTAGAGCTTGGCTGTTTTTGGAGCTGAATGTTATCTCCCAAAGCAGAATTAACCCTATAGACAGACTCCCTAAGTGAGTTCCTTGGTGGCCAGATTTAGAATCCCCATGGCGTTGTTTTTTTGTTTTTTTGTCTTCCTGCTCTGTCCCCAGGGTTTCGCCACGCTCATCAGGACTGGACACTATATTCCTTCTGCCCCTCTGTTTGAGAGTTGGCCACATGAACTGAACAAGCACTACGTGGGTTCTGCACACCAGAGAGTGGATGGCCTTGTGTTGGCCTTCACTGGTATGTGTGCTCATCAAGCTCTCATGCCCCTGTTAAATGCCTGGGAGAAGCAGTTCAAAAAGAGGAAGGATTGCTTTGGGCTCGTGGTTTTATAGGTTGGACTGAGCCCACTGTCACTGGCTCCGTTGCCACAGGAAGTGGAAACAGCATGACAGTGGCGGGGAATGTGACTGAGTGGAGATGTTCACTCCAAGATGGCTGGGAAGAGGTATGTGGGGGAGAGATAGCGAGAGGGCTGGGGACAAGGTATAGTCTTCAAAGGCATGGCTGCAGTGGCCCACTTCCCTCCGCTATACTTTACTTCTTTAAAGGTACCATTACTTCCCAAAGTAGCATCACTATCCAGTGACCAAACCTTAACCACACGAGCCTGGGGGCCATTTCCTATCCAAACCATGGCTGGGCTGGTTAGGTTTTCCTTCATACACTTAAGTCATGTGTGTGTTGTTCTTAGGATTTTTGTCATGTCTATGAACCTCTTAGACTCTTATGTATTTTCCTTCCGATTCACTAAATTTATCTTATACATTTTTTGGAAAATGAATTTTTATTCTTTCATAGATAGAAATAAGTTTGCACAAAAGGAGATAATAGAAAAATAAGCATAACAGAAAAAAATCTTTTTATTAAATTCTAGCTAAAGGCTGCTACTCCTTGAAGGGTCTAGGCATTGTGTACATGTCTATACCTGTATTCAGGAGGAAGGTCAGAAGCTTAGGGCCATTATTAGCTACACTGAGGCCAGCCTGGGATTCACAAGGCCTCATCTTATTTTAAAAAAATAAAGTCTAGTACAGAAAGGGTAATGGGATTAAATGGGGCAGGAGGCCTCCTTTAAAATTCTGGAAAGGCAGTACCAGTATTACTGGAGTTCTTGATCTCTGCCCCTTTCTATGTTTCTGGGTGATCCTTCTGGGTGGTGCCAGTTAATCTTCTGTCTCTTTAGTTCCCAGGGAGCCAGGCATTTCAATCCCCCTTCAGTGTGTACACAGGCACACAGCTGATCAGGCAGCGAGAGCACTGGAGTGTGCTGGTTAGCTCATCTGGCTCCCCACAGTGAGATTCTCCCGCCCTCTGGTCTAGGGTATGTGCTGCAGCTAAAATTCTCTGAGATATGGCTGGGGATGTGCTATAGTTCTTGCCTGGCATGGGACCCTGGGTTCTAACTCCAGCACCAAAACAAAATAATAAAAACACCCTAAAAATGTGCCTCAGTGGCAGCAGCCAAATCCATACAGAAAGCAGCCTTTAAGGGGCCTATACAATTCAAGCGTACATTTCCACGGCCAAGCTGTCTCACGGCCACAGCAAAACGCCATGTTTCTTCTCTGACTGCTGTGTCCAATTCTGTCTTTACATACTAAAAAAAATCAAACAAGGGAAAAGATAGATCCTAATCCTATTTTGCATTGAAGTCTCAATTTTTTAAAGCTTTTTTTAAAAAAATGGTAATTGAAAGAAAACTCCCTGCAGAATTGCTATGAAGTGGTACTTCAAAAAGTAGATTCAAGATATAGATGATTTTAACTTCAGCATTTCTAGAATAATAAAAATGAGCCCTAGGAGACTAGTGGGAAAATGTCTAACTTTCTTACTTAATAAGTCTGATTTGCCTTTCCTTAATAAGGGCTATGCTTTTTTTTTTCCCATGATGGCAGAGTTGAAGTCTGTGTGGTCTTTATCATTCCTAGAAAAAAAATTATCATGCAAAGTAGACTGTTGCCTCAATAGCCAGAAAATTAAGGAACGTTGGGAATCTGTGAACAAGCGTTAAATGATGGTATTGCTCTTTCCTCCCAGGCCTTGTGTGGAAGTCAGCCCTGCTCGCACCTCTCATGGCTGAATCAGAACGAGAAACGGAATGTCCGAGTAAAAAACAAAACAGAGTTAAAATTCTGAAATTAGAGGAAGCCATTTCTGTGGTGAAATCTCCAAGAAAGGATCTGATTTTGGACTAGACTATCTTAGAAATGGAGAGTCAGGGGTGAGCTCTGAGTTCTCTTCCTGTGGTGCAGGGGTACTGATGACCGGAAGAAATTGCCATGCCTCTCTGCTATCCACATGGCTCTCTCTCAAACTCTAGGCACTCCAGAAGGCCTATCTACAATGTCCTTTTCTGTTGGTAACAAAAAATGAAATTTAAGGTTGGTGGTGGTGGCCTACACCTTTAATCCCAGCACTTGGGAGGCAGGGGTAGGCAGATCTCTGTGAGTTTGAGGCCAGCCTGGCCTACACACCAAGTTTCAGGACAGCCAGGGCTACACAGAGAAAGCCTGTCTCAACTGCCCCACCCCCACCCCCAAGAAAAGAAAGAAAATTAAATTCAGGGCTAGTTTACAGGGTGACAGTGTTGGGGAGAGATTAAATTATTTTTGCCCCAAAATACACTCTGAGTATTAATGGGCCACTGTATAAACTTCTTACAAAAGGGGGCTCTGAGTTGTGCTAGGATGTTAGCAAGATTAGGATATTGTGTTTAGATAATAGTGGTTAGGCCGTTTTGAAAGATTTGGTGAAGAGTTCTACTAAATTGGCTTTTAAGATACAGGGTTAATTCCACCAAATGTACTGGACAAGGTTGGACAAATCCATTTACTCCTAGGATAACACCCTAATTAATACCTAGAGTTCATTTAGATGCTGTGGTACTTTGAATGTAATTGGCTTCCATAAGCTCACAGGGAGTGGTACAATTAATAGGAGATATGGCTTTGTTTGAGTAGGTATGGCCTTCTTGGAGAAAGTGTGTCACTGTGGAGGTGGGTTTTGAGGTCTCCTATGCTCAAGCTATGCTTCATGTAGACAACTCCTTTCTGTTGCCTGCAGATCAAGATGTAGGACTCTCAGCCCCTTCTCCAGCACCATGTCTGCCTGCACACTGCTATGTCCTGCCATGATGATAGTGGACTAAACCTCTGAAACTGTAAGTCACCCCAATTAAATGTTTTCCTTTATAAGTGTTGCATGGTCATGGTGTCTCTTCACAGCAGTAGAAACCTTCACTAAGACAGATGACCATTTATTACAACCCATGAATGCTCCACTTGATATTGATGGTAATGTCACCATACTAGTTAGATAGGGGTACATGGAGGAGTTGGAGATGGAGTCTTCTGGATTGTCAGTTGAGTGTTTTTTCTGGGTTAACCATCTAGGATATCAGTCTGCCTCATCAGCTGTACAAAGGCAAATTGCTCTAGAGCCATCATTCACCATCCACCCATGTATCCTCTACCTATCTAAAAAAGTAATGGTTCGTTCTCTTTGGGCATTCTCTTAGGTCCTAGGGTTATGAGAGGGAAAGATGGTACCTGTGTCTTCAAGAAGCAGGCAGTTATGGAATGCAATGCCTTCCTACAGTAAATCTGCTCAGACTCATATGGGACCTGGGAGAATATGTGTGGAAAGCTGATGGGAATCAAAATGGATACACAGCCAATCTGACACCTGTGGTGTCTTGGAGCAAAGGAGTATCCGTCCTTCCTTTTCAAGATTATTGCCAGGGCCTAGAGAGATGGTTGGGGGCTGGAGAAATGGCTCAACAGTTAAGAGCACTGACTGCTCTTCCAGGGGACCCAGGTTCAATTCCCAACACCCACATGGCAGCTCATAGCTGTCTGTAATTCCTGTTCCAGGAAATCTAATGTCGTCATATAGACATGCATGCAGAAAAAACATCAATGTACACAAAAAAATAAGTTATTTAAAAATATTATTGGCTACTGTTCTTTTACCTTTGTGCTTAAACTTTAGAAGCAGCCTGTATCTGTGGAAGGCATAGGTGCTGTACTTTTCCTGGAGGGAAGGAACAATCCTCACTGTTCCATTCTTGGCTCTAGCATTTGAGTCTTTTCTCTTTTTTCTTGTTAGTCTGACTAAAGGTTTGCCAGGTTGGTTGATCTCTTCGAATAACCAACCTTCAACTTCACTGATTTTTCTCTGTTATTTTTTTAAACTGGGATTCATTCATTCCCCATAATCTTTATCCCTTTTTCATACCACTTTCGTTTCATCTGCTCTTTTTCTAGTTTCTCAAGATAGACCTTTAAGTCATCCACTTTTAGATATTCTTGTAAGATATTAAAAAATTATGTGTATGGGTACTTGCCTGCATGTATGTATATGTACCACATATGTGCCCAAGGAAGACAGAGGGTGTTGGATTCCTTGGAATTGCAGCTGGAATTGGAATTGGTTGTGGGTGCTGGGAACTGAGCCTGAATCCTTTGCAAGAGCTGGGCCATCTCTCCATCCCCGGGATCATTAAAAAATATTTTTGTTCCTTATTTTAAGTCGTATTTCTTTATGTGTAGGCTTGAGCACATAGATATACAGGAGGTTGTCGGTCATCACATGGTGTTGTGAAGCAAAGCAAGGGAAGCATCTTTTACTACCAAGTTGGCTCTCTCCAGCCCTATACCTTTTTAAAGAGCTGTTTATAACCACCACGAACCTGTTAGCAGTGTTAGCTCCACCCTGTAAGTTTTGTGGACTGTAGATGCGATTCATCTCTATTCATCTCCAAGTGTTTTCATATTTCCCTCGTGGTTTGTTTGTTGGCCATTGTTTAGTCCTGAGAGAGTTGATTTCTAAACATACATGGCTTGTTCAGGTCTGTTTTTGTTACTTATTTTTTTTTTTTTTTTTTTTTTAAGATTTATTTATTTATTATGTATACAGAAGAGGGTTGCCAGATCTCATTACAGATGGCTGTGAGCCACCATGTGGGTGCTGGGAATTGAACTCAGGACCTCTGGACCTCTCGAAGAGCAGTCGGTGCTCTTAACCTCTGAGCCATCTCTCCAGCCCCTTGTTACTTATTTTTAATGGCATTTCGTCAGAGTCAAAGAACAGTTTGTGTGTCGTTTCAATCTTTTCAGAAGCTCTGAGATCCAATATAGGAGCTGGCACATGGTGTACCTTGGTGACTACTGCGTGTCTGCTTAAGAGGACTGTGTCTTCTGTCACCTCGGGGTGGAGAGTTTTGTATAGATGTCTGTCAGGGATAGCTGTTCGGAGTGTTCTCTGTGTCTTCTAGCTCCTTGTTGATCTTCTGCTTAGATTCTTTTTACACAATGTATGGTGACATTATTATTAATTACTTAATAATATAATCAACCAGTGACAATATTATTAATGACTATTAGTTAGTAATAATTACTTTGTGACATTATTATTTAAGTAGTTAAATAATAATAATAATATTATTACTTTTAGCTGTCCTCAGATTTATTGAACACATTACAGAACAGATTCAAATGGTTCCACGTGGTATTTTGAAATTCATCCCAACTGTAGGCCGAGTGACCTGCAGATGGGAGCAGCTGTGGAAGTCCAGAAGTTTCAGCATTTCCTTAGTGTCAGGATGTACCTCAGAGATCTCCTGTCCCAGGGCCGAGGCCTCAGGAACATAATTATTCCTATATAATAATTAGCTTTCCCCGTCTCTGCCCCTTTTACAACTCCATAGAACTAGTGCCCCAGGACCTCTCTGAATCTTCTTCACCGGCTGTGTGACGACGCCTGCTAGCTTGTCACGGACCTTCTTGCCAGGGATCACGGTGCTCTCCACGCACACACACATGGCTGTTGGTGTGGAAGGCCTTAACTAAGTGTGTGTAGTACTTCTTGATGGTGATCCAGGCTGTCTTCTCTGCCTTCTTCACAGTGATGGTGTAACTTCAAAGCCTTGATGTAGATGTGACTCATGTTGGCGGATCCTGGTGAAAGAGAAACATAGCTATTATTATTAATAATACTACTATATTAATATTATTATTACGTTGACTGTTTTCTCTTCAATTTTGTCAGTTGTTGCTTTGTATATTTTAGGCTCTCTTTTTGGGTTCATACATGTTTATAGTTGTATTTTCTTTTATTCTTATTACAAAGGTCCTCCTTGTGCCTATGGACTGCCGGCCTTAGTCTGTGAATGATGCTGTCACCTCTGGCAACCGTATCCTAATGCACAAGCACACCCATGATCCTCAGCACTAATGGCTTGTTCCACGGCTTTCTGAACCAGTCACTTAAGCTCTGTATATGACAGCATCCAGAACTTACTCTGAAGTTCACACCCCCAAGAAGAGCCTCTGTCCTGAGTGTTTTCCCTTAGTGCTCGTGCTGGGTGACCTCTCTTAGCACCCCAGGCCAGATAGCTGGAGCGATTTTAGGCTTTAGTTCTCCTAAACTAAAACTGTTTGTTCAAAATGAAGCATTGGAGAGAATCTCCTATAAAATGAGAGCCCTTACACAGCTGTAAGTATATCCAACTTTGTTTTATCCAATAAGTAGTTTTAGGGAAAAATAACCTAGTATTCAAGCATACGTGGTCTCCAGCTGAATACGCAGTTTTTACTCTACATCATAAAAATTCAGCTAGCACGTACCATGGCATGTATACTCCTCTGGCTTCCTGGTCTTTTGAACCTGCCCAGCCCAGGGCCCTAGATCTGACCAGTGAAGTCTTGGTGAGCAGCTCATGGGGCCCAGTTAGATATGTTAGCTGTTTGCTTGGCACCTGAGGGACATTGGCTGGGTTTGCTGTTCTTTCCTCCATTCAGCACTGTCAGGGCCTCCTCAGAAGCAAGAGAAGCATAGTTTTGCTCTTCATAAGATTCATTGCTTTCCAGACATCAAGGATGTTGGGTCATTTGGGATGGCGTCATCATCCTGGGCCTATTGATATGGATCACTGGCTCTGTACCATTTAGAAACATTTTCAGAGATATGTTTTTAGAAGAAGAGCCCATTTTTATAGCCAGATTTCACACACACACACACACACACACACACACACACACACACACACACACACACGCATCCACACGGCACCTTATGTTCTCCCTGGAGTCTGGAATCCTAGGAGTGACAGGGACCAAGTTGTTCTCTCAGCACAAAGGTAATGAATGCATTCATGTGGAAATGTGGCTGGGACCAAGGAAGGATACAAGCTTGTTTTTCTTTTAATGTGCGCATCCAAACGTGACCGAGAAAGGTACATTTTGGAAAGCCAGACTGTCTGGCTTTAAAACACATTGCAAGTGAGAGTTCTGGCAGCACTGGCAGCTTGTGCTGTTTTCAGACTTTCTAGCTGCTGTCTCTTGGTCTCTTCCTACTTTTCTTCTACCCCTGGGTATCACTGTCTGCTTTTAGGAGACTGAATGAAGAATAAACATGTTTGACCTTGACTTAAAAAAACTCAGAAAAGCAGTGTGGTGGTGGCGCATGCCTTTAATCCCAGCACTTGGGAGGCAGAGGCAGGAGGATCTCAGTGAGTTCGAGGCCAGCCTGGTCTACAGAGTGAGTTCCCGAACAGCCAGGGCTACACAGAGAAACCCTGACTTAACAAAAAAACAAACAAACAAACAAACAGAAAAACCCTCAGAAAATCCAAAGAGACCGGAAGCTTGTGAGCTGGAGACTGTGACTTGGCCGAGGATGCAGGCTCAGTATGTGTGATGCCATAAGATAACCCCAGCCCTGGCGTAAATCATCTGGGTTCAGATCTGTGTTTGTAGAGCAGTCTACCTGACAAAGACCTCCAGAGAAGCAGCAGGCTGCTTTAGGAAGCCACGGCTTTCTGGTTCTGGTTCTTCCTGGTTCTGGAGACACTACAACGCAACCTTGACAATCGTTCATCATCATCCTTGTCTCTGGGGCCCAGAACCACACAGACCAGAACTCAAAGCACCTCCAGTGGCTAAGCAGACGCAGCCCTGAGTGGATGGCGCTGCGGAGACTCAAGGAAGACTCCAAGTGTCCAACTTTGAGGAGGCTGCCGCTTGGTGTTGCTGGGTGCTGTCACCCTGGGGGACAGGAGCCTTCACAAGTTGTCCTAGCTGTCATGAGGACTAGACCTCAGCTTTGGACAAGATGGGCCTGGTCTCACGGAGTGTCCACTTGGTTAGTATGCAGAATGTGGACAGTAAACAAGGAAGCAGACCTAGCCATACGTCATAGACCGAGATGGCTGCTGGGAAGGAAGGACACAGAGAGGCTCCTATGGAGCCCGTGCTCAGCTCCCTCCGTTTCTAGGACCGTTTTGGTGGGAAGCCATGGCCCCTCCTGGGTCTTGGTCTCCTAACAATTCTGGGAAAGCCATCCTATGGTTCTATGACTCAACCATGGGAAAGGTTTGACGGTTTGGCTGCCTAGGAACTGATGACAGCCAGGGGGGCCTTTGAGGTTCAGGTAGCTGGCAAGTCGAAACAAACAGCCCGGGGCGGGGGGGGGGGGGGGACGGAGCTGACTCCTGGAACAGCAGGACTCTTGCTTGCTTTGGGTTCTCTGCTCAGCTTAGTCTCCATCAATTGGGCCAAAGGTTACAGTATTGAGATTTTAGTGGATACGAGTTACAGTAAAACATCAACAACAACAGAAGGACTGAACTGTGTTGACACCCAAATTTCCTCTAATGGTGACGTATCGCATGGAATCTAAATGGTCTTATAATAAAACACCCAGAGCCAGATGTTGGGGTAAACGCTGAAAGATCAGGAGACCAAGGAACAAGCCGCTAGAGAAACTTCTCACCACTACCGAATCCTCAGGCGGAATGGAAGGTGAGATCCTGTCTCTGTGAATCTTCTGACTGAATACCTCTGAGTCCTCAGCCAAAAACCCTCTGGTTCCTGTCTCCTCAAGCCTTATATGCCTTTCTCCGCCCAGGCATTTCACTTTCTTCCTTGTACTGGGATTAATGGTGTGTATGCTTCCCAAATACTGGGATTAAAGGTGTGCGATCTCAAGTGCTGGGATTAAAGGCATGTGTGCTTCCTAAGCATTAGTGCTGGAATTAAAGGTGTGTGCCACCACTGCCTGGCTCTGTTTCTCTCCTAGAATGAATCAATCTCATGTAGTCCAGGGTGGTTTTGAACTCACAGAGATCCAGAGGGATCTCTGCCTCCTGAGTGCTAGGATTAAAGGTGTGTGTGTGTCACCACTGTCTGGCTTCTATGTTTAATCTAGTAGCTGGATCTTCAGGCAAATATTATTAGGATACAACAAATTATCACCACAGAAATGTTCTGTGGTTAGGTTAGGATTAGAGCTCCTTATCTGGCCCTGAATTTGTGGGGAGGGCAGAGTTCATCCTAAACAGGTTGTTGGCTTGGCCTACAGTTTTTTTGAGCCAACTTTTAAAACTGTGAGGTTTGACCTTAAAAAAAAAATCCAGATTTTCGGTATTGCTTGGAAAAGCTGGAGATCCATTGTCAAAGGCCGGCTTCCTGCAGGGTACCCTCACCTGGCATCATGAAGCAGCTGCTTCCTCGGAAGGTGACCACCGCAGTTCATCCTTGTGTCTGTCCAGCGCAGTGCGCTCGCTGCAGCCACCTGCTCTGCCATGGGAGCTGATTGAGTTTTTGGACATGCTGTTGAGTTCCAGTCCTTGACAACCCTGTCACATCAGTAATTTGAAAAGCAAAGGTATCAGGGAACCCTGAACTCTCAGAGCTGAAAAGACATTTAAAGAACCACCCCCATCCTTGTCCAAATCAAAGCCCAAGAGGACACGAGCCCAAGGTCATGTACTTTTGATGACACTGGTGACAAACTGCTCATAGAGGGACGTCCCATTGCAGCCATTACATCAAGTTGAATCCAAAGCAACCTAAGAAAGCATTCCTGTATCCTGAAGATGTTTCCATATCAAATGCATTGGAAGGCGAGAAAGACAGTGATATGGAAGTCTGTGTTCTCTCTCAGGCCTGTGTGCCTTTTATCAACCTTACAAACTGGGTGCAAATACTGACCCTCCCACCCTGAGCACCGTCTTGTTGATTTGTGCTTTGCAGTAAGTCTAAAATGTCAACAACGACCTTCATCTCTTTGGTACAGGAGTCCGGGTGGGGATGGCATGGGAAGAAATGCTCTCTTCTCTCCTCAGGCGCTGAGAAGGAGGAAGCTCCCGAGACTTGGTGAAAACATGGACCGTTCTTTGCTCACACAGGGTCTCTCCTTTGACTTTGGAGTCTGGACCGTCATGGTTCCACTTTGGCTTCTGGATCAAGAAAATGGTCAATATGCTGCCACGGTAAAGCTTCAGGTGCTGGGGACTTGGTGTAACCCCAGGCAGGATGCTGACATGTGCTGCCCCATTAACAGCTCCGACAGAGTCGGGATCTGCTCAGTCACTTCAGACAGTCACTGTCTAATGTCTCATTCTGTTCTTAAACAACCATGTGAATGGGGAAACTGTTACTGTCCACGGCTGACAGATGAGGAACTGAGGCCCCAAGAAGCTAAGTGTTTTATTCAGTGCCTCGCAACCGGACAGGCCAAAGCTGTGTGCGTTGTTCCCAGGGACATCTCACTGCTATATTACTTCAAGTCAGGTATTGAGGCAAAATGCACCCACATTCTGACAGGGCATCCCATTTCCTAACAAGTTAGAGCTATGCTGCTCAATATAGTACTCGCCAGCCACATGAGGCTACTTAAACATAAAATCATTAAACTTACTGAAATTAAAGATCTAGATCTTAGCCACACTGTATACATTCCATACGCTCCAAAGCCCCACAGTACTAAATCCCAAAGTATATTTTGAGCACTGAAGGTACAAAACACTAGAACTTTCCATGGAAATTGTACGAGAAAGCACTGTAGCAGATGAAGAACTAGAGAGTCAAAGAGACTTAAAAAACACACAGCGAGACCCAGGGTTTGAAACGCACACTGCTTAGATGTCACATCTAAGTCCCTCCCTGGCTTCCTGTTCCTGCTTCCAGGACAACTATTTATTGTTTGCAACTAGACCCCACATCTGCCCATGGCAGGCAGCTTATCTTTGGTTTCATTTATGCTCTGTGCTCTGAGGGTTGGCACGTGAGACGTGGCTATCAGGACCTGCACACTCACTCGGCCTTGTAAGAGTCTTAAACAGAGACGCTGCGAAGAGTGTAGTCCTTGAACTGCAGGTAACAGCTGTAGACGCTTGGGCAGCTTGTGCAAACTTGGACCTGAGTGGGATCACTTGTAAAGGGATGTTTGACCTCAGAGGGTCTGGACGCACCTGCTCGAAGGTCCTAGCCAAACACTCCACAGCCACAACAATGGTCACTACCTTACTCTAAATGACTTACGTGTCACTGCACTGGAGTGATGTTCCTCAAGGGTGTGCTTCATGTCCACCTCCTGGTCGTTGCTGTATCCTTCAGGCTAGCTCCCATTGATAGTGAGTTCTGGAAGAAAACAGTGTCCGGTTTAGTCTCAGAGAAAGTTTTTCTATAAGCTTTATGGTTTATGAATCTGTCCCCCTTCTTTGAGTGATTTTTTTTAAATGTGGGATCTCACTATGTATGTGTTGGTTAAACGGCGCACATGCCGGCGGAGGAGAGTGCTGGTCGGAAGAATCCCAGCCATGGTTACCTTTTTAGAGCTTTATTGGGAGAGAGGGGGGAGAGAGGGGAGAGAGAGAGGGAGAGAGAGGACAGACGGAAGGAAGGAGCAGAAAGGAAAGAGAGGGATGCACAGAGGGCCCACCCGCTTTTTAGGCTGGGCTGATGACATAATTAAGGACCGAATCCTTACAGTATGTAGTCCTGATTGACGTGGAACTCACTGTGTAGATCAGGGTGATCTTGAACTCACAGAGGTCTACCTGCTTCTGCTGCCCGAGTACCAGTATTAAAAGTGTGTACCACATGAATGCCTAGGGGGAAAATCCATTATAAGACCTTTGTGGATACCTGACACTGTGAGGGAATGCAGCTCCAAATAGTCTGCATATTCCCATGAAGAAGTTTGATCTATAGGTTAAACATGGTGAAGAGTAACTAATAAGACAGGACAGCTGTAACAATGCATGATAATCCAAGCTATGTGAATGTGCTCTCCACCCACCCCACCCCCTTACTGTACTGCAGACATCCTTCTTCTGCCCAATAGGACGCCCACATGATGAAGTGACACAGACTTATGCTCCATGTAAGGGCCACTTGAACACAAGTGCTGCGATGTCCTCATAGTGGACTCAATGAGCCAGCTGACCGTGTGACTAGCCAGCAGGTAGTAGATACAGCAAGGATGGCTGGTCGGAGGATGATTCGTGACCAGCAGGCAGGAGCAAGATTTCCTCATACTACTCACAAAGGCATGCAACTTAAAACGTGTGAGATTTTTCTTTCTAGAATTTTCCATCTGAAATTTGATCATGGGTAGCTGGAACCATGGTAGCAAAAGTGACACACAGAGGAGCGTAGTCTAGTTCAGTTTCCCATCAGAAGCACACGTCTCTAGGAGCAAGTGTCTCTGTCGTGCCGGTCTGGATGCTGCTTGTACATCCAGCAAAGGGGAATTTGCTACCTAAGGACAGTGCTTTGCAGCTTGGACCTCCTTGCCACAGACAGAAAGGGTCCTGAGCTTCAGGCCATCCTTCCATGCCACTCAGCATCTGAATCTCTCGGCCTTTGCAGAAACAGGGCAGTGCAAAGTGTGTCTCCAGCTAGCTTTGGGAAGTTTCATGACTATCACTGGGGGTAGGGAGAGGTGGAAAATGAGCCGAGAGAATCTGGCTATTAAACACATTACCTGTATTTATGGTTCTCGTGCCCCAAGGCCTGGGATAAATCGGAGAAGGAAAAACATTCCGCTCCGGCTCTCAGTGACCCCTGAAGGAAACCCCCCATGGAGTCATTTAGGATAGTAATTTGAGCATAGACTCCAGCATGCGTTCCCAGCCTTCCCTCCATAAACTCAGGAGCCTCATGATAATCGGCACCAAAGTGCTTGAAAATGTGGCCCAGAACCCTTCCAGATGAGGGTCGGGCTCAAAGAAATAAAAAGTTAAGGGCGCGTTGCTATGGCATTAACATTGAGGGAGTGTGCAAGGACTTCAAACTGTGCGCTGAAAGTATGTTCTTTCTGTGTGCCCGGCCCATGAAACGCTAAGCCAGCAAAACCATTAAAACGTCAGACGGGGAGCCAGGTGGAAGAAATGCATGTTTAATAGTAAACATGTAGCCCACGGTAATTGTGTCCGTTGAGAAGTTAAAGATGGGGGAGACAGAGGAGTTGAGAAGAAAGCAAGCTGGGGAAGTGGGGCCGTTGGGCTCCTTCTGCCCTGCGCTGAGCAGGCGGCCCTCCTTACTCAGCAAAGCTCTCAAAACCATCCCCGGTTCCTTCCCTTTCATTAGCGCTCTGCCGCAAGTTAACCGGCAGGCCTCGAGTCCCAACTTACTTCTAGAATATTAGGTTGAGTTCTACAAAGTGGCCGACATTACATCTTCTTTGGTCTATGGAAAGTGTCAACTCTATGGCTCAACCTAATTAAATCTCAAACAAGCTTGTCTGCCCATCTCCAGCGTCACCGTCTTGGTGTAAGTGGCTTCATTCTCTTACAAAATGAGTTCAGGATACCAGTGCACACACAGGCAAGTGTCGCTGAGAGGGAGAGACGGTCTGGAGACGTGGCTTTCTGATTTCCAGTTCTTGCCTCTGAACTGGAAAGAACAGATTTCTTTGCTGGGCGGTGGTGGCTCACACCTTTAATCCCAGCACTCCTCCAGAGGCAGAGACAGGCAGATTTCTGTGAGTTCTAGGCCAGCCTGGTCTACAGAGAGAGTTCGGGCTACACAGAGAAACCCTGTCTCAAAAAAATAAAATACCAAAACCAAAAAAAAAAAAAAAAAAAGGTACAGAATTCTTGCTTGCTGCTGCCAGCCTCTCTGGGGGACTTTACAAGGTCAGCTCCTGTTTTGTCTAACGCTGATCTCAGGTGAGAATCAGTGTGCTGGAAAAGGAGCAAGTTCTTCAGACTCAGGGCAAGAGATTGTGGGTAGAGAAGCAGTGCCATCTAAGAAGAAGCTGGGGTTGAAATTTAAGGGAGGCATTGCCAAGGGCACACACGGTGGCTGGAGAGATGGCTCAGTGGTTAAGAGCACTTGCTGCTCTTCACAGAGGACCTGGGTTCAGTTCTCAGTACCCACCTTAGGCAATTCACAACTGTCTGTAACTCCACCTCCAGGGATCTAATGCCCTCTACTGGTCTCTGTAGGCACTCATACATACTCATGTACACACACACACACACACACACACACACACACACACTAAATTGAAAAAAAAAAAAAAGAAAGACAAAGAAAAAACTTCACACACAGCCCTGAAAACACATGGTCAGAGAAGACCTGAGAAGACTTTAAGATTTCTCCTCTGCTCCCCTAACTTAGAAAATTAGTGAAAGACATCCTTTGTTAATTAATTGGCAAAGGTTGGCTGTCATGGCTGTTTTCTATCAAGCATTTGATTTTCAACAGCAAACTCACCCTATGTACAGGAAAGCACAGCCCACCAAAGGAAAAAAATAAAGTGACACAAACTGTTCTTTTAAAAAAAAGTATTAATTAATTAATTAATTAATTAATCTATTTATTTATTGTGTATAGTGTTCTGGCTGCATGTTTGCCTGCAGACCAGAAGAGGGCACCAGATCTCATTACAGATGGTTGTGAGCCACCATGTGGTTGCTGGGAATGGAACTCAGGACCCCTGGAAGAACAAGCAGTGCTCTTAACCTCTGAGCCATCTCTCCAGCCCCACAAACCATTCTTGATGAAGCAGAGACTTCATATTTATAAGCAAAGACTTAAAAGAATGCCAATGCCATCATCACTAGGCCTGTGGGAGTGAGTCCCAGAAGGAGGGAGAGAAAGAGAAGAAAGCTTGTTTGAATAAATAGTGGGGTTAGAGGGCTGGCTCCACAGCGAAGAGTGCTTGCTGTTCTTGGAGAGGACCTGAGTTTGGTTCCCAGTACCCATACCAGGAAGCTCCCAACTGCCTGTAATCCAGCTCCAGGGGATCCATTGGCTCTCTTCTGGTCTCCACAGGTGCCAATACACACATGTACACACACAAGTACACAGACACACAAATATAAAATAAGTCTTTAAAAAGGAGAGAACAGGCAGGGCAGGTGGCGCACGCCTTTAATCCCAGCACTTGGGAAGCAGAGGCAGACGGATCTCTGAGTTCGAGGCCAGCCTGGTCTGCAAAGTGAGTTCCAGGACAGCAAGAACTATACAGAGAAACCCTGTTTGGAACAACAATAACAACAACAACAACAACATCAAAACAAAAAACAAAAAAAAAGAGATAACAGCAAAATGCCTTCCAAATTTGAATAACTGGATATACAAACTTTAAAAGTTATTAACCTTCTACTAAGATAAGCCCAAAGAGACTCACTTCAAGATACATAATCAAACTGCTGGATGACAAAGAGAGATTCGTAAAAGCAATAAGAGAGAAAGGATTTGCTCATGTAAAGGATTCTTAAACTAGTTGCTCAGTGGAAAACCAGGGTGTTGCAAGGCAGTGGGTGATATCTTTAAGGTATGTGATGAACTACCACCAGTACTATCCCTACCATCAGCAAAGACCCATTAACCATAAATGAGGGGAAAGTAAGACTTTCTAGATGAACAGAAGCTGATGAATTAATTGTGTTCGCTTTCCTAGGGACATAAAACATCTATTGTCCACAGACAGGGCTCTAATAACCACCTGTTTAAAGTTTCTACTCAAGTCTAGCTTGGTGAACCAACAAGTCTAACTCGGTTTACTTACTGAAGCTTGAATGAAGGTTACCTACAGGAGCATGGGCAACTCACAGGTGGCTGTTCCACTAAAGAAGAGTCCCTACCCTCCCAGTAACTGCTAACCCCCCCCCCCTGCTTCCTTGCGGGAGAGCGGTGGCGGGGGAGGGGTGGTGGTGGTGGTGGTGTGGGAGGGTGGTGTGGTGGTGGTGTTGGGGGGTGTGGGTGGTGGTGGTGGTGGTGGTATGGGTGGTGTGGGGGTGTGGGGTGGTGGTGGTGTGGGTGGTGGTGGTGGTGGTGGTGGTGTGGTGGTGGTGGTGTGGTTGTTGTTGTTGGTGGTGGTGTGGGTGGTGTGGGGGTGGGGGGTGGTGTGGGGGGTGGTGGTGGCAGTGGTGGTGGTGGTGTGGGTGGTGTGGGTGGTGGTGGTGGCGGTAGTGCAAAAAGCTTTGTGTATCTCAGTAGCCACCTTATGAATTCTCTGTCGCCCCTAGTGTGCCACTCTGTGAGGTACTTGTGTACAGCCGCATGCATCTTGTGAGACCGCCCTACTCTCCATAATGGAATGTTAGTAGGCCCAAACTTGTGATGGTCTCACTCCAATTTAAATATAGCAACAGTGGTAGTTTGAAAGAAAATGACCCCCAAAGGGAGTGGCACTATTAGGAGGTGTGATCTTGTTGGAGTAGGTATGGTCTTGTTGGAGGAAGTGTGTCACTGTGGGTTTTGAGGTCTCATATATGCTCAAGATACCAGCCAGAGTCTCAGTTTACTTCCTGTTGCCTGCATATCAACGTGTAGCAGCTCTTTCTCCAGCACCATGTCTGCCTACACAGCACCATGCTCCCTACCATGATGGTAATGGACTAAACCATTGAAGCTGTAAGCTGCCACTACAATGAAATGTTTTCTTTTATAAGAGTTTCCATGGTCATGGTGTCTCTTCATAGCAATAGAAACCCTAACTAAGACAGTCACGTTATGCTCTGAGGACAAAAATTCATTCTTCCTCTTCCCCAGCCCTTACAATCTTTTTGTCCCCCTTTCTGCAATGTTTGGTGAGGCTTGGAGAGAGTGATATAGATGCTCCATTTAGGGCTGAACATCCAATAGTCAGTTACTCTTAACACTCAGACCACTTAGCAATCTCTGCAGTAACTGCTTCCCTCTCTGAAAAGAAGCCAGTGTGACCAGCGACACAGGAACTGTAATCTACGGGGAAAACCACAAATGTTAAGAAGGAAATTTGATAGGCATGTCACATCCACTCAAGAAAACAATAGCAATTGCTTCCCCCTCTTAGGGTTTATGGCCTCTTTAACTAAACGCTTTTGTCCTGGTTTATAGTAGAAGACATGAGTTTTCTCTGCGGAGTAGGCCTTGAATCCAGAAAGCAGTTGGTTGTGCCTACAACGATTGTGCCAGTATTACACAAGTGAACACATTTCATCTGGAAGGTTGATGGTGCAGCACTCAGGGTCCTCAGCTGAGAAGGACTTTTGGTTACAAATCCCTCTTAGTGCCTTTTAGCTCTAACCAAGTCAGTTATCAGGGAGGAAGCTTCCACCTCAGTCCCAGCTTGATTTCTTTCATTTTTAAAAAATTACATCTCTATGTGTGCGTAGGTGTGTATGTGTACATGCACATATGTGGAGGTCAGAGGACAACTTGCTGGAGTTACGTTCTCCTTCTACCATGTGGGTTCCAGAGATCAACCTTAGGTTGTCAGGGATAGAAGCAATCACCTTTACCTGCTGAGCCATCTCACTGTCCCCTAGCTTGATTTCTTTGTGTCTTTCAACCAAAGCATGTGATGTCTTCAACAATAGGTCTTATTATCTAGCTCTGGCATGCAGCTGACAGTAATGATAATAGCCTTTATGGTTTGTGGCCTTAGGGTCCTCTCTGGTTATTAGCTTATGTCAGTAGGGAACTCAGGTGCTGGAATTCCCCCCACCCCCCAACAATCTTATGGCTCCTAGAAAGTGTCTTCTGCCCACACAGTGTCAGTGCGCTTTATTTCAAATCCTTCAATTTATTTTTCAGATGTTTCCCAAAATGTGTAAGACATTCAAGAGTTAGCACTACAGGGGAGGAGTTAGGGGTGAATACAAATAAAATATATTGTATGGAATTCTTAAAGAATTAATAAAAATATTTTTTAAAGCAGCTAGCATCACATAATGAAACACTTTTACAGAGAGTAGGCTCTTAGAGCTCATTGGCCCATTCCAAACAAATGCCAATTGGTCTTGGGAAACTAAGGGGATAGTAACAGAAAACATTAGTAAGGGCTAAGACAGCATGAAAAGACCCCATCCCTTGAATCAATTGTTTCCTTAAAAGAGCATATGGAGTATAAGATCATGGATGGGAGACACTGTCTCCATCCACGTTCTCCATGACCCATCCGGCCCTCTCATCCTGGAGTGCTGCCTTGGGGCTGCCATGCATCTTAGCAGGAATAGCTTTCGCTACTTGGCCTGGCCCAGGGCCAAGGGGAACAAAGCTGTGCTCTGCTGGAATTAGTTCCTGGGGTCTGATGGGTTCTGGCTGTCACCATGGCTGCCACCTCTCTGGAAATGGCTTCAAGCAAGGTGAAGTCTCCAGCCCCAGTCTACTTTCCTGCAGGGAGAAAGGTACATAGCTACGCTGAGGGGGGAGATAATTGCTCCCCTCCCCCCACTCAAGACAAGCATGGTCTTTTCCTTCTGTCATTTACTCCTTCTTTCACTCCTTTGGTGGATGGTTGCTGAGGCCC